CCGTGTTAGCCAGGATGGTCTCGATCTCCTGACCTTGTGATCCGCCTGCCTCGGCCTCCCAAAGTGCTGGGATTACAGGCGTGAGCCACTGTGCCTGGCCTGTGAAAGATAACTTTTTATACCTAACAGACTGGCAGAAATTAAAAATGACCATTATGGCTGGGCATGGTAGACCACACCTGTAATCCTAGCACTTTGGGAGGCCAACGTAGGAGGAACATTTGAGCTCAGGAGTGAGACCAGCCTGGGCAACATAGTGAGACCCCACCTCTATTCTTAAAAAAAAAAAAAAAGAAGAAGAAAAATGACAATTCCCAGTGTTTGTGAGTAAGTGGAAAAACAGATGCTCTATACATTGCTTGGAGGGAGGTGTAGGGAGTGGGTTAAACTTGCCTGGGCAGCAATTTAGCAATATGTATCCAAATTTAACGTGCTATGGCACCTAGAGGTTGTCACCTCTTCAACCTAGAGGTTGCCCTTTGAGAATTTATCCTTATGTAATGAAAGATGTTCATTACAATATTGTTTATAAGAAAATATTGGAAGCTGCTTAAACATCCATCAATAAAAGATTGGTTAGCCGGGCGCGGGGGCTCATGCCTGTAATCCCAGCACTTTGGAAAGCTGGGAGGGAGAAGGGAAAGAAGGAAGGAGGGAAGAGGAGGGAAGGAAGAAGGAGGGAGGGAGGGAGGAGAAAAAAGGAAGGAAGGAAGGAAGAAGGGAGGGAGGGAAGGAGAAAAAGAAAGAAAGACAAGTAATAAAGCAAGGTAAAGAAGAAAGGGAGGGAGGAAGAGTGGGAGGGTGGGAGGGAAAAGGAAAATAAAGGTATCTTAAACTTCCTCCTTTAAAATGTTTTAAAGCTCCCTCGATGTCCACTAGGAGGAGACAAAGAAACGCGGACCAGAAGAGTCAAAATGCGCTTTATTCTTTATTGCGGGTGGCTCATCAATGACGCCGTGGCCTTCCCAACGCCCATCACCTTCTGCTCTCCTCTTCCCACCACGCCAGCATTTTTAAAATTTTATTTATTTATTTATTTA